CCATCTGTCGCTGCTTCTCAGCCATATTGCCTGAGGTAGAGCCCACGAAACACAGCTGTAAGTTGGCTTTAGATCAGTTTGCCAGAGGTGCAAGACAAGTGTGCTGCTGCCAGCGTTCCACTGTTGCCCTGCTGCAGAAGGGCACAGCGGCACAAAGCGTGCGAGGAGCTCCTCTTGACTAAGGAGGACTAAAGTGGCTGTGTCTGCACTGACAGAAAGCATCCGTTCCAAGGTGATGATCCTTAGCTGGAGATCAGCAAGACATCACTATGTGACCTCTCTACCTTCCTTAGAAAGCAGGACTCAAAACATACAAACTCTGGCAGCAAAACAAGAAAGCAAAAAAAACGAAATCGAGCCTGTCAACAAGTCACCAGGGCAACCACCTCCTTCCCAGAAGGAACCCTTTTCCTTCTCTGCACCCCCGCATCCCAAAGCAGGAGCTCCTGCCGTGTACTCTACCTTCCCAGCCTGGCTGACACTGGACACTGGGGCAGGCAACTCCCAGCTGTCCACCCTGCCCTGCTGCTCCAGAAACACAAGCGTGCCCCTCCCCTTCCCCGCCCTCATGCCAGTGTCCTACATCATCTGTCCTGGGCTCAATCTCCTCCTACCCAGCGTGTGTCAAGTATCACACACAGACTCTCAATTCATAACCTAGTTCCAACCGTTCTACTCAGCTCTGGGCCTTACATCTCCATGCTCTCTGGAGCTTGCCACCTGCTCCATGAGGTGCAAAGCCCCTGAACCTGCCTGGCTTCTGGTACCTTTGTGGGTTTTCACGCAGTACTTGGTCTGGCTTATCACAGCAGTCACCAAAACTCGGCTCTGTAAGGACATGGTTCTGCTGAAGGAGCACACTGGTTCCTAACACTGGGAACAACAGGAGGCAGCAGCTCACAAGGCAGCCAACGGGTGTCAGCTGGCAGCTTCCCTGCATTGCTCCCACATCCGTGTGCTTGGTGAACCCCACAGCACTCCTCCCAGAGCACCCCAGCCAGCTGCAGCCCCTAGTGCTGCACTTAATCTTCAGCATCCCCAGGAGGCGGGAGAGGCAAGGTTGCTGTTACCCCCAGCTCAGTCTGCTGGGGACGCCACAGGTCCTGCCCAGCAATATGAGCCAAGACCTGGATGAAGCAGGCGGGTTCCACAGCCCAGTTCCTGATGTGTGACAGCTCCAGGTTTTCACTCTCTCCTGACTGCTGTTCTTCTCCATCTTTTTTTTTTTTTTTTAATAGTTTTTTGCTCCTCCAATCTAAAGTCAAACAGCCCTCCAGGGCCTTCAGCATTTCTACCCTCTGCTTTCAGGGGCCTGAGGGAATGGTCTGCCTGAGGCTTCTTTTCTCTGGCAGCCCTGTGCCTAATTTCTGGAGTTCTTCATACTGAAGCAAAGCTCATGAAAGGATATTTTCAAGCCTCCACAGAATTATTTTTTTTTCCCTGTACTAGGGATCAAACTTAGAACCTTGTGCTTGCCAGACAGTTGTGCCTCTCAGCCATCTTCTCCGCCCTTTGTAGGAAATTTTTGTGTCCAGGTCAGGTTTAAAAAACGTGAGAAGTGGCTGAAGCTGGAGATGGAGCACACGTACAGGGCGAAGGCCATGGCCGCCTGCGAGCACGGAGAGCATCCTGCTGTAGGCGAGGTGGGCCAGCAAACAAGCTGTCAGGCAGAGGGGCCTGGCTGCCTCCAGCCTCCAGGTATGAATGAACACCCCGCAGGCAGGCAGGCAGGCAGGCAGGCAGGCAGGCAGGCAGGCAGGCAGGCAGGCGCTGGGTGGCTCCTTTTCTCCCACCTGGACGGAGCCCCGCCTAGCCTGCGCTTTCCTCATGCTGACTCTCGTCTTCACTTCTGCACTCCCCACTGCCCTCACCCTGGAAATCTGAGAGCTGCTCTACACGTCCCAAAGATCACAGTAAGTACGCTACAAACATGCTTCATAAATAAATTACTAGAGTAAGATCATTTCAGATTTTGGTCAGTCACAATCAAATATAAACTTTTTAAAAAATCACTTACTGATTTATTTATTTGGCACAGGGCTACCATGAAGCTCAGACTCAGAGTGATCCTCCTGTCTCAGCCTCCCCAGTGCTGGGATTACAGATGTGTGTCACCACACCCACTTTCAGTGGCCGGCACAGCACGCCAGGGGTTCTGGAGCTGACTCGGCGTGAGGTACTGGGGATGGAACCCGGGTCCAAGCAGGTAGATTGCCGAGCTACCTCCCTACCCCTCGAGTATTAACTGATATTAGGGTTTTCATTATAAACTAAAAACCCCATGGGATATGAAGTCCAGCAGGTCCTGACCTGAGGAAGTGGCTTATCTCCTGGGAGTCAGGTACCCACTAGACTCACTCGTGTCTCCAGGGCCCCACACCCTGCTCTCTCTTCCCTCAAATCTCTTTGGGGTCTGCCTCTCCACTTGTGTTCTCTTAGGCTTTTATTATTGACCATCTGGACCATCAGGATCCCCTGCATGGTCTGTCACAAGCCTAACCAACCTGAACAGCTGTCAAGTTAAGTTATTCTTTGTATGAAAACTAAATTATGCTCACAAACCATGACGTACCCACAGCCAAGGAGCCTTATTCTAGCACTCAAGATTCTCTACAATCTATTTCCAGCCTATCTTCTCAACAGGATGTTTTTGTCCTTACGTTCATTTACTTGACACATAGAAAATGGTTACCGAAATAAAATTAAAAAAAAAAAAAAGGGGCTGGTGAGATGGCTTAGTGGTCTAAAGCACCTACTTAGAACAAGCTCAGCAAAGCACAGGGACCACAGTTCAATCCCCCAGCACCACATGCCAGCCAGCCCCGCCCCCTGGTGGGCTGAGCTGGCCACACACACACACACACACACACACACACACAAATAAATAAATAAAATTAAAAAAATAAATAAAAAGAAAATGGTTACCGAGGATTCTGAGGAGCTGAGGACACATTAAGGTGACCGAGAGAAGATGGTGCATGTACAAATACAGCTTCCATATGAGGAAGAAAATGCAAAAGTTGGGTGTGTTGGCACAAGCTTGTAATCCCAATAGTTAGGAGGCTGAGGCAGGAGGATTGTTGTGAGTTTGAGATAGCCTGGCTACAAAGTGAGCTCAAGGCCAGCCTGACCTACATGGTGAGACCCTGTGTCAAAAAAAGCAAAAAGCAAAAAAAAAAAAAAAAAAAAAAAAGAGAGGCACCAGGCACCGTGGGAGTTGAGATGCTATTGGGAAGGCCCAGCTGCAGGACGTGAGCGGAGGAGCAGGGACACCAACCTTCAAGCCTGGGTCCAATGGTTCACTCAGTTCTGGGCCTTACATGTGCAGAAGAACGAAGGGAGACTGTTCAGGAAAGCAGCCAAGGCCCGCGGGGCCCAGAAGCCGACTGACCGGAGGTAAAGCCGGAGTGGCAGGGTGAGGGCTGAACCCAGGCCGCTATGAGTGTGTAGCACAAGTCTGGACCATGCGTTTACTTGTTCACCAAAGAGTGCACACGTGTGCTCAGCAGTGGGAACAAGGCTGCAGCCGCTGCTTTTCAGCACTTTTCTGTGCTGCTTCCCAAGCAGTTCCCTGCCTCCACCAACAGCCTCTCTCCTCTTGGCCAGAAGGGCTTGTCTTCCCCTCTGGCTCCTGGAGAAACCTACACAGGCCCAGGGCGCCCCCCAGCACTCTGGGAGGCAGGAAGATCCCACAGGTTCAGCCTAGCCAGGGCCACAGTGCATGAGTGTGTCTCAGAACAGAAAAGCTGCCTGCCAAGCGAGGGGCCCTCAGTTTGAGTCCTGGTACCCAAAAAAAGTAAAGTGGTTGGTGGCTCTATCCCCAGTGCCTGCTCTGCCCGACCATCCAAGGGCTCGGTGCTGGGAAGATTAACTGGCATCTCACAGACAGAAATAAAATTCCCATTTCCAAGTTCACAATATATCTGATCACCACTGAACTTTCCTTGATTTTATCGGATATTTCAGTTTTCAAAAATATGAGCTGAAGAGAATCGTTCTTAGGTGGCAAAACTCATTTTTTTCTTTCTACTATTTTGTGTTTACAAAATTTCTTTTTATTTGTTATATTTTGTCTCAGAATAAGATCTCATCACTTTTTTTTGTATTTTAGTACAGGGTCTACAGGTTGTCACTACATAGATCAGACTCGTAGTGATTCACCTGAGTTCAGCCTCCCAAGAGGTGGGATTACAGGCGCGTGCCACCATGCCCAGTCTCAATCACTGTCTCGGTGTGCCCCAGGGGCAGGGCTGGCACGGCACACTGGGGATTGACCCCCAGCTGCTATGTTTGCTTAAGCATGTGCTTAAATCCACTGAGCTATTTGGCCAGCCCTAAGATTTCTTTACTTTTAAATGATGGAATTTATATCTTTCTATAAAAGTAAGCTACTACTTGGATTACAAAGACACAATGTCTCCTGGTATTTTTACAGTGGGAATCTGAGGACATAGCCACCAGACCCTGAACTACAACTGCTAGAAACCGCAGTTGTGGGCAAAAACACCAAAGCTAGGTGAAGGTTTCCTCACTCCCTCTCCAGGGGACAGGGCTCCCCGAGGCCAGAACTGGCCCTCCTGGGGCCAGCGAGGGAGGCTGACAGCAGGATGAATGCCGGGGTGCTGTCAGCTGCTGCCGCCACCCTGAAGGATTGTTACACCACGGATTCTGAGGCCCTGCTTTTCCAAAATGCATCCCAAAGACCCCTGATCACATCTCTCTGCTGCCTTGGCAGGCAGCACTGCTGAGGCAGAGAAGGAAGCTGAGATCTGCTCCTGTGAATTTTAAGAAGCTGGTTTCCCCAGCCGGACTGGCAGGCTGGGCGAGTTACTATTAAGAAACCCATAAATAAGAACGACCACTTATTTCTGTACCAGGCAGACGCAGCTCCTGCAGTGCTCCCCACATTCCATCCAGCCCTGGGAAGCCCCCAGGTGCCCTCCTCAGCAGGACTGGTTTCATCTCTGACCAACCTTGCCCCCCTTCAAAAAACATTTTACCTTTTCTCCCCTCTCTCTCTCTCTGTCCCTCTCTTCCTTTTTCTTCTTTCTCTCTGCATGCCCCTCTGTTGGGAGGTTCAGAGTCGTTGGGACAGGGGCAGCGGCAGCCCCAGTGCAGGTGATGCTGGGAGGGGGGCCAGGTGTCACTGTGATGTCACTTGCGGTGGCAGCAGGCAGCCCCGAGCTTCTCCTGGACTTGGAGTGCCTCTTCTCTCTATGCTTCTCCTTGTCCTTTTTCTTTTTGCTTTTCTTCGACTTCTTTTTCTTCTTGATTTCCCGGTAAGAATCATCTATGACCAACTCGCCTGCCTCCAGCTCTCCACCCGAGGATGAGTCCGACTCCACCAGAATTGGCTCAAGCCCTGAAAGGTCAAGGCTGGCACTGTGGGCTTCTCGGAACGGGGCAGCTTCAGACCCACAGACTTCAGGGCCAGGTGACGAGTGAGGGTCTGAGGACGACTTGTGCTTCTTCCGGGCCGTTTTCAGCAAACTCTGGAACTCATGTCCTAGGAGCACAGTCCCCTGCTCATCCCGAGCTGACTTTTTAGTGGATTTTTTCACAGCTGCCTGTTGAGAAGGGTACTGAAAAGACTCCTCCTCGACAGAGCTGCTTCCTTTCTCCTTTGGTGAAAGAATCAGTTTCATCTTCAGGCCATCAGGCTCACGCAGGGTCAAGGTCTCTGTGTTCACATAGAGCGGTTTCATCTTCTTGGATTTGTGGGAGCTGCTGTCCTCCAGGGGGGCGTCCCCACTGCTGACACTGCCCTTCTTCCTGTGGTGCTCCCGTTTACTCTCTGAGTGGCTCGTGTGGCTGGAGGAGCCAGAGGACTTCTCCCCTGCCTTTCTGGGGTGCTTGGCGCTGGCTGCCAGTGGGGAAGTGATTGCTTTCAACAGGTCCATAGCTGTGTCAGCGGCCTGTGGACTGGACCTTTTCTTTTTCTTTTGTGCCAATTCCAAAGAAGAAATGTCTAGAAATAATTGGGAGGAGCGCCTGTTAACAAGACAGGAGCAGTTTCTACCAAGTGTCCTCCCTCACCAAAGACACCCAGCTAACGCGAGAAAGAGGCTGAATGACCAAGGGGAGGCCTTTGGTTCCTAATGCTTGGAGCTGGCGCCCACATGCTGCTCGGCTTAGTAGACTCTGCCTTAGCCCCTGGAGACCACTCTTGCCACTAATGTTGTTTCTCTTCACTGAGTCTTCACAAGCAACCAGAGAGCACCCAGAAGAACAGACTACAGCTGTGGGTTAGGGGAGTTATGCCTTAGGTTAGAGTGCTGACAGAGGGTTATTGGTTTGGGTCCAGAACTGACTCACCCCAGCACAAGGTTAGTCTCACCAGTGTCAGCAGAGCGCAGCTAGGACACTGGCTTTGTGAGTGGCTCTGCCCTGAGAATCGACCCACAGGTGCAGGCTGGAGGGCCCAGGGCTACATTGGCAAAGGGATGCTAGATGACAACGGCACAGATAAGTGGATGGTTGGGGTGAGAAGGAACCTGGTACCTGTGTATCACAAATGAAGACTGTTCTTCTATGCTGAAGCCTCCACAATACCAGCCCTCCACCTCTCCTCCTTCACACTGGTTTATCGGCACTCAGAACAAGAACCACTGTCCTGTTAAATAGGCCACTGAGTCAGCAACATCTGGATCCTTCTCCCCTACCCCGACTCCAAGAGCCAGCGATGCATCTCTCCCGCCTGTGGCCCTCCCCGGCCTTACCTCCATGGTGGTAGTCATCTGGGGAATGCTTCCTCTTCTTCTTGTGTGTGTCCGTCCCCAAGAAGCACAGCTCACTATCCTGTAACCAAAGAGAAGGACCAGATGCTGAGAGGACTGAGTGGGGAGGGAGTACTGCACAGGCTGGCAGGCTTGAGGCCCTGGGTTTGAGCCCGTACAAGGAAGGGGAAGAAGTACGTAAGGCAAAAGCAGTGTGGAGCCACTGTTGTTCTCAGGTGGGTTTTGACTTCACAGAATTTAGGTACAGCACAGCAAATGACAAATACAGATATGGGCAGCATTTACAGATACTCTCCCTTCACGCATTAGGAAATGTGTTAATTTTACAATGTCTGAACTCAAATGTTTGTTTTATTTTATTATTTTTTATTTTTTTGTAGTATCAGGGATAGAACTCAGGACCTTGCGCTTGCCAGGTAGGCGCTTATGCCGCTGAGCTGTATCCCGGCCCTGAATTCAAATGTTTAGAACTTACCTTAAACTTCTTCTTGGAAGAACTCCTGACCTGAGCGGCGATCTCTTCCTCTTCCCTTAAGAAATCCTTGTAAGAACGTCTCTTTTCTCGTTGACTTCGGCCGGCCGCAAGTCCTATGTCCTCACAGCTGTGGTCACCATCAAAGCAATCTGAGGAGCACAAGTCCATGTGGGGAAGGGAATGAGGAGGGTGAGCAGCACCCAACGGTCCCTCTATTTCCAGATTAAAATTACATTTCACTCAGTTCACCGAGACACTGGGCTAGATCCAGAGGGACCAGAGCATTTCTCGACGACCTGGCTGCAAACAGAAGTCAAACCTGAAGAAACCACGCTTCCATGCTATGAAAGGCCCCACGTGCATCCTTGGGTACAGTTCTCAGTTGTGCTCTGGTGAGTGGACTCAGACTTCAGAGGGAGGGCAGAAAGAGCAAAGGTCCTGTGCTGTGGTTGCTGCTCTGTGGGAATCCAGGCGTGTTCCGGCCCCAGACTCCTGCACAGGGAGCTGGCATGGGCAAGAGTGCTGCAGGACTCACCCGAGAGCCTGAGAGGCTCGTGTCGGAACCCTGTCTTGGTTTTCGTTTCCACGGGCCTACTTTGGGGATGACGTGGAGGCTCGTGTCAGCACCACTGTGGACTGGCCCATGGAGCGCAGGCTGCGGTGCCCGGGGCTGGTCTCTATTCCACGGCCGCAAGGCCCGAAGAGCACACCCGCTGGGAAAGCTTCTCAGGTTAAGGGGTCATACCTTCTTTCTTCTCGGAGTCATCATAAGCCATGGTGGTCCTGCAGGGCTTTGAGCATGTGTCACTGTCCAGGCTCCTTCCGTCTACAGGACCAGGTCTGAGAAACAAAGAAGGAAAACCTTCCTGTAATGTGAAATCACGTGGAGAAGCAACCTTCCAGGAGAAAATTTGCAGTGATCCAGGGCAGACTGGAAGGGCAGCAAGAAATAAGGGGTGTCTTGTCGCCTCCTCTTTCTGTTTGTAATACACTAGGGTTGAAACCACAGCAGGTATGCTACACTTAATTGGATGTGACTCACAAATCATGACTCACTTGGTGAAGCACAGGAAATACTTCTTAGTTAAAAAAAACTTCCAAAATGAGAGTTTTTAAAGAGCCAACAGGACTGACAACATGAAGATGAGGTAAAACTGACAGAATCAGAGGGTTGGGTTTAGTTGTGGTTATAAGATGCAGAGAGGGCAAGATAGACGACAAGAACACTGATGACCTCAAAACCCTACGGCTCAACGGTCAGCCAGGAGGCCCGCTGTGCTACAACTTAAGCACAAATGATAATGCAGGACACTGGCATTTTTATTGGGTGGTATGACTTTGTGGAAATGCTTAAGAGATGTAGCAGAGGGAAACTTCTTAAAGTAGCTGGCCATATGACAGCTCTCAACGCTCACAAGCCTTTCTCAAACACCACTTGTCCACTGGCGACAAGATGTATATGATGTTAAGATTTTCACTTCTTAGAATTACTGTAATTTAAATGTAATTTTATTGAGGGAGTATGGTAATCAAACTTAGGACCTCAAGCTTGTTGGGCAAGTGCTGCACCACTGACTAAATTCCCAGCCCAAATGTTGGATAATATTGTATTAAATACTTGGTTTTTTTTGGTGTTCAAGTTTAACATTCATTTGGACTTTGAAGAGGACAATCTTACATACTGTACCATATATAAGTAAAATTCTTTTTTTTTTTTTTTGTATTTTAGGGAAAGATCTACAGGGTGTTTAGGGTCTAAATACTAGATTGGACTCCTAGTGATCTTCCTGTTTACAGTCTCCCAAGAGCTGGGATTACAGGTGTGCCGAGTCTCAACTGCCATCTCAGCATGCCCCAGGGGGCCGGGCTGGCACGGCAGGCCTGGGGATTGAACCTCCAGCCCCTGTGCCTGCCTGCAGGTACTTTAATCAGCTGAACTATTTGGCTAGCCCTATAAATAAAATTCTTTAAATATTTTAAGGACAAGCAGCAAAGTCTCTGTAGGAAATTTAATTTTTTTTTTTTGAGACAGGGTCTCAGTATGCAGTTTGGGCTGGACTTATGCTCACTTTTATAGCCCCCAGGCTGGTCTTGAACTTGCAGAGATTCTCCTGGCTCAACCTCCCAAGGGCTAAGATTATAGATGTGTACTACCACGGTCAGTTCCTGGGCGCATGGTTGGCTTGCCCAGGGATTCAGGCTGAGACTGCAGGGCATGTGGGGCTGGGGATCAAACTCGGGTCCTTGCGCTTGCCAGGTAGGTGCTTATGCCTCTGAACTATCTTTTTAGACCCAGGAAATTTAAATTATACATTAATCCTGAAAATGCCCTCACCAGCTAGTTAAATGTTTAAAAGCTGATTTAACTGGTCATTCATTTCACTTTTACTTTACCTTCAGCACTGTGAGCTGGGTGTAGCAACACCGAAGGACACTTCAAAGACACTACTAATCCCTTTGGGGAGGTGAGGGTGATACTGAAGTACTCTATGTGACTTTTGTGGGAAGGAAGGCAAATTCGATAACAAAGGAAACTTTCATAGTAACAATTAAAAAACCAAAAGGTCTGATAAAATACAATGCATAAGTAGGTCTAAGCTGAAAACAGAAAAGAAAAAAAAAGTGTTACCAAGAATGATTAGAGAAAATACACAAACAAGTTTTTTTTTCCCTTTTCTGAGAGGTGAAATGAAAGACTTTTGCTCAAGGTTAGAAAAGCTACAGTGAGGCAAACTAAATATCATTTTAAAGAAAACCGGGAAATTCTTTGCTCAAAGGTCTTGTCATGGAAACAGAGAGGACCTAAGTTCAGGCCTCATATAAAATTGTGGTTGGCTTTCCAAGTCCAGCACATAACTACTGCACTTCCTCAAGCAGGGACCACTGTCCTCCCTTCCCACCCACATGGTGCTGTCTCCACAAGGGGTAAAAGGCGACATGGGGAATCACAGCTACTCATTTGACAATGGACAGGCTCTTGTTGGCACTAAAATACTGCGTTTATTAGAAAAATATCTGGATCACATTGATTTTCACATGCTGATAAAGAACTGCTACAGCTTAAGACTTTCAGCTAAATACTTTTCATATCAAATTAATTTTGGCAAAAAATAAGAAATAATGTCAAAAAATAAAAACAACCCCCTTTCAGTGCCATAAAGATAAGCTGTTAACCCATGGTCAACAACAAAATACACTCTAAAAACGTACGCAAAGGCAGGTCTAGGACTCATGAGCGGCCCTTCCTGGTAACATCGCCACTAAGCAGGGATGAGCAGCCTACGGCAAGAAGAAAGCACCAGTACAGCGACATTCAAGACGGCAGTGCCGAGCAAGAAAGATACTCACTGCCCAGTAACTGACTGCTTGAGAAACTAGTGACTCTTAAAAGCTATGGAAAGGAGTACAGAACTAGGGTCTGCGGCTCAGGGGCTAGCCAGTGGCGTTCTGCATTAGAATTAGGCCCGCTACTGTTGCAACCTTACAATGCAGAGCATTTTACAGATTACAGGATAAATACCTTAGGGAAAAAAAAAGGCCTGAATACAAGTCCTACTCACTGAAGAACTGGGCCAGCCGAGATCAAGAGCCACTTGGGACCAAATCACTCGCAGCCTGGGCAGACTGAGGGGTTGTCAATTTTCAAGGTCTTTAAAGTTAGGTTATCATTGAAGTTTGAGGGTTAATTGTGACTTGTAAGATAAAGACGAGATCAGAAAAAGAAGCCTGGAGCAGCAGCAGAAGAGGGAGGCAGAGTTCAGGTAGCTGTTCACAAAAGGGAACCCCATCTTCCTCCTAGGTTTTCAATGTTACCCATAGGTAACATGCTCAGGGTTCAGGGGCAGGAAGTAGATTGTGAGGGTTAATGAGGTGAAATATCAGGCTCAGGCTCAGTTTTCACATTAGAAAACAGAGTTCTAGGGGGGGCCAGGGAGATGACTCAGTGGAATAAGCACTTCCCCGGCAAGTGCAAGGGCCTGAGTTCAATCCTTGGTTCCGCAAAAAAAAAAAAAAAAAAAAAAAAAAAGAGAAAAAGAAAAAGAAAAAGAAAACAGAATTACATTAAATGTTGGCAAATGTAAGAAGTGTTCAAACTCATTCTCCTAAATTCTGTAATTTTGTAGTTTACAAAATTCAATGTCATTATTGAATTTATCCAAGAGGCAGGGATAATTTTACGACTGTCTCAGTGTGCTAGAAAACAACAGTGTAGGTTTATTACTGAATAGGTTACAGGAAAAACATGCCACTTAAAAAACTGCATGCTTAGGAAATGTGCAATTATCAATTGGCTCTTCTTGGACTTTTCTTCAGGACTAGAGAAAGGGGGGCACAGCTGGTCCTCCAGTTGGAGATCAAAGTGTGTTCAGACACAGGATTTCAGAATGACCAAAATATTTATGGAAAAGGTTAAAATCATCAATGTTTGACTGTTTTGAAAACTCAAACTGTAAAATACTGAAAACGTTGCACAGGGTGATGTCTTGGAGGTAGTTGGAACCCCAGCGATGGCTTGTGTGTGTCCCCATCCCAGAATATAGTTTAGGATTGAAGAAGAGGAAACAAAATAAGCCCCCTCAAGTGGGCAGAAGTGAAATCTTCTGATTTAGGTCTGTCCAAGATTTGGGCTCCGTCTAAGGCTTCTTTTCTTCCGACATCCTGTTCAGGATCACAACTCGTCAGGCACATCTCTGAAATTCTGCTGCTGCTTCTTGGGCAGGCGCAGCGGGGTCTTCTCCTCTGCATCCGGATCCTCTCCCTCCTCTTCACGCAGGTTCCTTGAGAAGGACCAGCACCACGTACAAATCCTCGTCCAAGCCAGGCCCGCGAAGACTGGCAATGACACGCGCTCGCGGCGAGCGATCAACAGGCTTTCTGTGGGATTCGGTCGGTGTTACTGTCGGGGGAAATACACCCAGCCGCCATCGGAGAGGAGGAAGAGGTTTCTTCTCCTTCGTGGTGCAAATCGAGTGAATCTACAAGTAGCAGCCGCGGACGGCACGGGGCGTGCGGGGAGGAAGCTCCCGAGGG